TTCCTACAGGCCTGGTTCAATGCGGCTTTCCAATTGAACGTTTTTAGACCCACAACAATGGCTGCTGATGCTAAAAAGACAGTTGTAACATTTTATCTCGATATGCATAAACCATTTCAACATGTTCAAAACGTTAGATTGAAAACGTGTTATAATTTTTGTAGAAAGTAGGAGTCACGATTAAAATTCACGCACAATAATATGCCTCGACGGGGAGTCGAACCCCGGTCCACGAATTTCCGGTCCGCTGCTCTACCACCTGAGCTACCGAGGGCTGACGATTAAGTGCGCAAATGTTAACACATGACTTCTGCTTGGTGCGCGACGTATTGCCAATAAGCTCACAGTACCTCTCCTGATGTTGCAGATTGGCACACACACACGTCACTTCCCAATGGACCGAAGTACTTGTCCTTCAGAGGTAGAAGGGGCGATGGTAGATTAATGTTGGAAGTTTGTGAGTAATTTTTTGTTGGCATCTCGTTGATTTTTTTAACTACCGAGAGCATTTAACGCAGCCTGGAAGCCTGCACACGGCGACCGCTATTATTAGTTGGGGTTCCGCTACTCAATTAAAAGTTGGGTACGGTTTTGTGGAAATCATATCCATGACAATCTTCGGGGACCCTCCGTTCCATGGTTACGACTCGTCCGACAGGTTCTTGTGTGATATTGATCCATCATTATCCATCATTTTATGGGTAAGCTTGTCACCATTGTTTTTGCGGACATTAAATGACATATATTATGCTAGACAATTGGTTGGATCCCATAAATTCCGCAAATTTACTGCAATAGGTGACTTGTATAAAAACATGTTTACTCCCGTTGTTCAGCAATCTTGCAGGCTGAGCCCAAGTTACTGAGCCCCGTCGTGGTCTAAACCTAAAGTGATTCCCTGCCAGGTGGTAGCTCATTAACTTCATAATACTCCTGGGCTGGGTAATCAATATAACGGGCTACGCACACACAGTTATTCCCGTCTGGTTATCCGAGGAGGTGAACTAGGTTTATCGTGCAGCGCACCGCTCCAAACTCTGGCCTATCCATGGCTGGTTGGCCAGTATGTTGGTGAAGATTTCCTATATTTGATTGGAGTTTGACTTTCCTAACATATCAGTAACGCAACGCCTCAACACGTTGTCCGGAATATACATGACTACACTAGAATTCCCAAGGCGTAATTAAGCAAACTTGCGACGCAATTTACTTTACTTGACTCGTAGATTGATTTAGAATGTCTAGCCGCATCCATGATCGCTCTTGAGATCTCGATAACTTTGACCAGCGAGCATTCTACCGTAATAGGAACGCATGTCGTTTTTGCTTTATGAAGGCAACCTAAGTACATAGTGAGAACATTTTTGTTTTTTGGCAACCCGGTTGATGAAGCTTTGAATCCTCATCGAGAGTAAATATTTAAGATTGCTGAGATGGTTATTATACGGGACCTGATCGGAAGTCACCAACCTCATGGAAGTCAAAGCGAAGTAGTCCAACGCTTAAGGGTTATGGAGGGTATATGATGGTTAGACATTTGGCCCCTCGTTTTCATGAAATGATTTAGATGCCGTTGGTCGCAAGAAGCAGATCCGGGTGCAAGCTGCTTAGCACAATGACCCATTAATTCTCAGTTACACACGAATTTTACAAAACGACCATTTAACTGTATGTTGTGTAACACAGCAGTTTTGATTCACCTTTAGCAGCGGATGCTTACGCTCTAAAAGTGAGTTTAGAAATTCCCCTGAATAAACAATATTTAAATTAGGATTTCACATTAGTTTAGGTTTCTAAGTTATTTTGTTTGCAGTTTATAACGACAGATGCAATTTAAAAAACACTAAACAATATAAATTATGATCGTGCCCTAAATTTGAACGTTTGCTTCAACAACCAGTCTCAACCTCAGGTTTGTAGTGCATGAATAATGTCGACGGGGCCTATTTATCCAGCGTTGTAGCAAGAACGAAGTGGCAGGAAAAAGCAATATTTCTACAAAGCAGCAAAGAAATTTCTTTTTGCACTTCACTTTAGGTTATTATTTGCTTAAAACTTGTTAAAATTGCAAAAATCTGGGATAACTGTGAAAGGGTTGATTCAATCTAAATAGGCTGCTACATTTGTTAATGAAATCCTCCAAACGATGAAAAAATAATCCTCATGAAGTCACGAGTTTGCCGCCTGAGGGGGTATTCAGCGGCTCTCACGGTGCGATAACGCACTGGGCAAAGTTAATGTCCGTACTAGCGTCTTCTGTTTGCCCAGTTCCCGTTGCACTAGCCAGATCGGATTGGCCACGGCAATCAGTGGTACACGCTTTTTAATCCCATGTGGGTAGCATTTTAGTGCACCGTAGGTGAAAATTTTCGTGACAACAACTTGATGCCAGGTTTGGATAAAATTGACCCAACTAGAGATGTTTATAGGTTCAATCGTGCGCTTACCTAATGCTGTTCTACAATCCGTTTGGCCAAGCGTCTGGTTGTACATCCGATGTAGTTTGCTCCACAGATGTAATAAATTGAATGCGACCAGGGGTCAAAACTCCGCACACACGTGCATATATATCAGCCTTGTTTCCGTCCACAACGCAAAATATATAGGAAATTACCACCTTTCATACTATTGCTACATTTCCCGGCAACGTTGGAGGAATTTGCTGTCTGGCTGTCACCTTAGCTTTGCTTCCAATTCACGCGTTCTTATCAGCCAGTTGTGCGAAGGCTGTTGATTTGCTTGATCTCGGTGGCGTTATTCGACTTTGGATTACGCCTTGAAGCACTGAGAAATGATTATATGTCTGATTTATTGTCATTTTGAGACATTTATTTTATTTTTTTTGCTCAAGACCATTCACAGGCGTTGCTCACGATATGCTCGTCGCTCTTATTATAATGTTTGCTTTTCGCCATATAATATCGTCCATGATATATGTGACGGTTTCAGTCTTCGGTTGTTCTAGTGGGTTTCCATGACTTTTCTCAGTGAATTAAATCCATAACACTTTCAAACAGTCTTAAGAAAGTCGGTCTCATCCATATATCAGTCAGAAAAATCCGTAAGACCATCAAATATTATCCTACGAGCGCGAATGCTGCAAAGCGCGCCACTGGTTGAGGGACCAAACTCAAATCAACCAATAACATAGCATATCATTTTACGACATGGGGTACCAGAGAACGCTTGTGTGTGGCCCAGATCACGAGCGACTTGGTGGGTGCCCAGTCACGTTCGACACTCGCATCCAGACATGATTGACTAAATGAAGCTATACCCATGTAAGAGGATACTCGGGAAACTCACGTGGCGGTTTGCAATCGGCACGTAACCTTTCAGGCATTTGCATTTCTACGTAATATCTGATTGCGCTCTGTGACCGAGCACCTGGTCGTTGAGCTGTCTGTATACTGCCAGGCATCCACATGACCGTGGCTGAATGAACTGGCCGTTTGAAATTATGACATTAAGTTGCTTCCACGTACCACTGCCGTGGGACGTCTGGCATGGACTTTTGGCTAGTGGCACCATAAGGGCGGTGAGAGCGTGGTGACCGCAGTGGGCTTCGAGGTGCTGCACACTCACTAAGCGTAATGTTGAAAGGTCTGTGCTTGATGGATTAGCGATTCGAATCAGTCTGAGTGCGGACGTGCCGCAAATTGCCATCTTTAACAAGGTTTCACCTGTTTTTGCCTTTGTTACTGCGCTGTTCGACTCAGGTTGTTCCTGGAGAATATTTCATATCATTGTTTTGTGATTCCCACTGCAGTTCCTGATACATGTAAGTGCTTTAGTGCGCCATCCAAACGTAATTAACCATGATTTGTGTTGTTGCGAAACAGACCGAATGTGGTGGGTCGTTCCTGGGGCGACAAACTCGAACAGCAATGAGACTTTCACAACACGCTGGGCGGCTATACGTTTCTGCTACTTTCAAGGAATGATCCGAGCTATATGTTATCGCTAAATTGCAGTACTGAGTGGCGCACATGATTTGGGTAACTCAGAACAATGTAATCAGTATCAGATTGTCAGGTAATCAGCAGTACGCGTGTTACCGCCTTTTTCAAGTGGCATATTATGCGTCGCAAAGACACATTTGGAAATCCGCCGTTGATTCGGCTCCAGATTGGTAACATGATGCTTTAGTTTCGGTTGCGTTGCTTGACTTCAATCGACATAACTACTAACCTATACACTTATATCTACGTATTTACATACAACATAACCCAAGTACGTACTGGTTACATTGTTACAATTGTGACAATTACTGTATATTGGCGTTTGTATTACTATGATCAAGCTTTTCTAGTCATGTCCCGCACTGTTAATTAAATACACAGTATATTTCTCGACATGCGAGACACAGGCAAAATATCAGCCTGATAAACTGGTACAACAAATTTGGATAGTGGAGGGGTTTTTCAAGTTCTGTTATGTTCTCATTAAAGTGTTTGAAGTGCACAGTCATTTGTAAGTAGTAGAATATGGAGAAATTGAGAGTAGAAATAAAAGTTGTTATAGCCGTGAGTTCAAGTAAAGTAATATGACCCTTCATGAAACCGTCTCCCGGAAACCTGCTTACACACGTCACTTACATATCTTATCTGGCTACGTGCTGATGTGGCTTAATGCACGTAGCCGCTGTAATTTTTGACTAGTTTTTGCTGGTTGGCTGTTGGTAAATGCAATGTTGCCATCCTCATGGAGACATATCAAACTTAAATATGTATAAATTTATGTGGGGGTCTGTGTAATATATTAAGATCTCCAATCCTACAGCCATTATTTAGCTAATTCGAGTCTAACACTTTTAATATTCGCCAGGCAGTTTGTCACAACTCGCATTTCCTGCGTGTACTGCGTTGTTGAAAGCATTTTTGCATCACCTCGGGAGATCGGCTCAGTCGTGACGAACAGTGGTAGGAAGGCAGTAAACCAAAATTAAAAGTAATGGGATGTGGGGGGGGGGGTGTGGTGGTTCAACGGGTTAGTGTGGTATGTGGGACAGGGGTGGGGGGGGGGTATTTTTGGTGGTGGAGGTAAGTGATTTAGTGTATACAAATGTTGTTGTGGGGGGAAAGGGTGGCTGGGGGGGGGGGGGGGGGGGGGGGGGGGGGGGGGGGGGGGGGGGGGGGGGGGGGGGGGGGGGGGGGGGGGGGGGGGGGGGGGGGGGGGGGGGGGGGGGGGGGGGGGGGGTGGGGGGGGGGGGGGGGGGGGGGGGGGGGGGGGGGGGGGGGGGGGGGGGGGGGGGGGGGGGGGGGGGGGGGGGGGGGGGTGGGGGGGGGGGGGGGGGGGGGGTGGGGGGGGGGGGGAGGGGGGGTGGGGGGGGGGGGGGGGGGGGGGGGGGGGGGGGGGGGGGTGGGGGGGGGGGGGGGGGGGGGGGGGGGGGGGGGGGGGGGGGGGGGGGGGGGGGGGGGGGGGGGGGGGGTGGGGGGGGGGGGTGGGGGGGGGGGGGGGGGGGGGGGGGGGGGGGGGGGGGGGGGGGGGGGGGGGGGGGGGGGGGGGGGGGGGGGGTGGGGGGGGGGGGGTGGGGGGGGGGGGGGGGGGGGGGGGGGGGGGGGGGGGGGGGGGGGTGGGGGGGGGGGGGGGGGGGGGGGGGGGGGGGGGGGGGGGGGGGGGGGGGGGGGGGGGGGGGGGGGGGGGGGGTGGGGGGGGGGGGGGGGGGGGGGGGGGGGGGGGGGGGGGGGGGTGGGGGGGGGGGGGGGGGGGGGGGGGGGGGGGGGGGGGGGGGGTGGGGGGGGGGGGGGGGGGGGGTGGGGGGGGGGGGGGGGGGGGGGGGTGGGGGGGGGGGGGGGGGGGGGGGGGGGGGTGGGGGGGGGGGGGGGGGGGGGGGGGGGGGGGGGGGGGGGGGGGGGGGTGGGGGGGGGGGGGGGGGTGGGGGGGGGGGGGGGGGTGGGGGGGGTGGGGGGGGGGGTGGGGGGGTGTGGGGGGAGTAGGAATAGGTAGGTTTGGAGGGGGGGAGAGGGGGTTGGGGGGGATATGTGGGGGGGTGAGAGGGGGGGGGGGGGGGAGAAGATATGTCACTTTTACTGTGTTGTTCTTATTTCAAGTGTGATACATTGACAATTCTGCTCGTTGTACCGTTGGGTGTGCACAGTGCATATTTTACGTAAGTGTATCGTGGAAGATGAAAAGGTTAATTTTCATCATTTGCAGTCACAGTGGATCCAGTTTTATGGCAACGTAACGATCCATATTACAAAGGGTGTTGGAATAGCTTAGTAAACGTTAACTTAATGATCTTTGTACACGTTTCAATGCCATACCAACAATCACTCTAGAATTACCATAGATGCTGGAGCCATAATCAATTAATGGACCTGGTTTTAGATGATACATTGTGTTTATTGATTCTTTCAGGTGGAATGTTTTGAACATAATCCCAATGCTCCGAGGGGCTTGAGCTGCAGTATGTGCGGCGTGTTCGGAACAGTTAAGGATGTTTGAGTAGTGGATCCCTAGGTCATGGATAGTGTAGCAGTGAGACAGTGGTTTACCATCAATAGTAATCGAAACTGGTATGATATCACATCTGTAGAAGACTACGTGGCTTTTAACAGCAGAGAATGTCATGTTACACTTGGAGCTCCATGAGTAGAGTGTACTTAAGTCACGCTGGATTTCGCTTAGCATTACCCTGAACTCAGTTGGATTAAAAGAGTAAACAATTTTATGTCATCGTTAAATAGGAAAGGTTTGCCGGAGGAAAATATGTCAAAAATGTAGTTAACATATAGTAAGAATGAAAAGGGTCCCAGAACACTACCTTTTACCACGCCATTGGTGACAGGATTTTGCGTGCTTTTTTCGTGTTGAAGCTGAACAAACTGGGTTTTATTTGTTGATAAGAACCAAACCAGGGAAGCACTGGGTTGTCTATGCCATGCGCAGTTAGTTTGGATAAGAGGTAGTTTTGCGGGACACGATAAAATGCCTTACGCACATCGAGATAGATGACCATTGCTGATGAACCACCATCCAGCGCACTAGCCAGATTGAGAAAGTCCATCTGATTTGTGATGGAGGATCGCGCACTTAGGCAACCGTGTTTTCTGGTGTTGATAAGCTTCGCGTCCTCATGAAGTCAACATTTTTGGAATTATTTTAACGTTTCATCATTCTAGAGAGCATAGAAGTATGGTTTATTGCGTGATAGTAGCTCATTTCATGCGCAGAGCCGGAGTTGTACCGAGGAATGTCTACAGCCTTCTTCCACTGTGATGGCACAGTAACGGCTTTCATAGACAGAGAGAAAAGATTCAGAAGTAGTACAGGAATGTCACATCCAACGTTTTTTAACAGTGTTGTTGGTAAATTGTCAGACCAAACATACCATGATAATGTAGAAGAGGAACTAAGTCGACTAATACCACGGAGTTCAAAGTCAACTGTACAGAGTTTGTAATCAGTAAGAAGTGGGAGGATTTGCGAGGGAACCTCAGCGGAGGCGTTAAATGTAGAACAAAAGTACTTATTAAAACCGCTACTTATTGTAATTGGATTACTAGCTATTTAGTTACCATGACTCAAGATAGTTAGGGATTCCGTACTCTAGTTTCTACTTTTTAGCATCTTGGTGAGTTCAAGATTTATATTATGGTTACTGAGCGCGTGTTTTAGTCCTCTGAAACTATAACACTGCATCGTGGTGGGTTACCGTCTACTTACGCACTGGATGAAGCCGTACGTTACAGCCAGCATTTTGAAATCAGATCATTCACCTCCATGCACCATGATCTGTCCAGTTCAGAGTTAATTTTTAATTCACTTTGTAGGAGAGCATTCAACAGCAATCCCCAGGATTTTACAATGTCTTCCTTGAATGAGCAATCTTCCGTGTTCCGCAATAAATGGCGCAACAACTATGAAAAATCTGGAAGGGTTTTCCATCATGAAACTGGTTCTATCAACAGTGACCTTAGCAGTGGCTTTTGGGAAGATGGCCAGTTCTTACAGAAATATTCTACCGATGTATCAACAACAGGTACAGATCCGCATCTAGCAGTCTCAAACCTCCAACCGAATTCATGTGAAACAGATTCTGTTGTGACAAGGGAAATGTCGCGAAGTCGTCGTTCGTGGAACCCGCCGCTGTTCCGGGCTAAAACCAGTTGGCTGGGAGCAGCGATGTTCTGTACGCCTGAAATTGGATCTTATGACTCAGTGTGGTCAGTTTGCGAACCGAAAACGATGAACTTACATGTCAGTAAGCGGTCTGGCCTCGGTAAAACTGATTCTCAGTCTAAGCTTCTGGCCAAAGAAGTTTCGGTAAGCTGAACCTTATTAACCGCTCCCGATTGAATGAAATTGTATAATCATATAATTTTCGAGGCGAGATTCGGTAGGTGGGTTTATCACATTTGACTAATAGGGTCTTAAAAGTATTTCGTGGATTGAGGAGGGAAATGCTGTTTGAACAGACGGTAGTGGTTGACTCCGGGTATAAACTACGGGCCAACGTTCAACCCGCAAATTAAATTAAATGAACCAATAACTATTATCAGTCAAGGTATTGTCAGAGCCCACTAGAGAATACATTAACTCCCCCAGAAATCGAATACGTCTTCCAGCTAAGAGAATGGGAAGCTTGCCGTGAATCTCAGGGGTCGTAATCCATTTGCGGTAAGTTGAAACTATTGAGTAGCTGGACTAGTTCATTTATTCAAAGTCAGAAATAACTTTCATGTGTTAAATAAGCACAGTGCACTATTGTGTCCCAATTTACTGTTTTATTCATTGTAACATGATGTTTAAATTGTATTAATGTAAATGGGTTTATTTTTTAAGTGCATAGAAAACTGGCAACTTAGTGCACGCAGGTGATTTGTAACGGCCATTACCCTCCAGGGTAGAGGCTGTTCCTCGTTGATAGAAAATACTTCACTGGTTCAAGTGGGTATACCTGGCTCGTCCAACTTCAGAGGTGCCTGCCAATAGGTGTTCACAAACTACATATAAAAATGAACATATTCACATCCAACAGCATTATTTGCAGCATTATCGAGAAACAATAACAGCCTGTACTCATTTGCCACAGTCATGGACGCGTTAACATGAATTATATTCATCCATGGCGTCGTCGTCTTCAGCAGTGAGTTGGATTAATTCAAAGCACTTTTCGCATGACGTACTTTCAACTAGCTTAACCTATTTGTGCTGTAAAGCGCAAGTTAATTCCCGGATCAACGGATAACCAATGTTCCACAACAGTTTTTCAATGGCAAATTGTACTATACGCCTCAAATAAAAGCGAATGGTACCAATGGAATTAGGCAACATTAGAAATCGACCTTTATCAACCTTATACCACATTGTGCTGACTTTGTCTACATAATTCAACTAGAACAAGAGACACCGAGGCAGCTCGTACAACTTTCGTAATCGTGCTCACAAGTAACTATTTGTGATGGTAGTGAAAATCTGGTGAATTTTAACAAAGAATCAAGAGCAGAAACAAGTGCTAGGTTGAGCGTTATTTCCGGGTAAACTATCAACACACCGTAACACTTACATAACAAACCATATGACATATAAGCCACAAGTTGGGATTATATGGCCGTGCCCTCCAACGTGTATGCAAATACAAGAGGTCTTCCACGGGCATCGGCTTATTGCCTATATTTAAGTATGTGTTGCCGTCTATGATAATAGAACCGATTATATAGGTGGTTGCTTTTCACAGACAGTCCAAACGATCTAATTTAATAGATACAAACTAACGCTTTTTTATCGATCTACTGCTTTAAGATCCGAGTAGTTCCATAAACCAATAACAGGATTTGGATCAGTATAAATAACTAGTTCTGTTCAGTTTCTCCCTAACAGTTAAAATACAAGCAGCCTACTGGTGGAAGTTCGCAGATTAGAGAAGGTGATTATTACAGGGGGTAGAAAAACGCTTACTGCGATTTCTATGCACATGATAAGGACGAGTCATGTAACCTAAACTTTGATGACTACTGTACCGTGAGGTTGATAGGTTAAGAGCTGTTTTGAACGGACCACATGTGGAACGAACACATTGCGAATGATTAAATGCTAACTGGCACTGATAATAAAATAGACAAAGAACAAGATTTTACAAACATATGATAGCAACAGAACCAAGCATAGAGTAAAAACTCACAGTCTGTGTGT